TGGCCCCTGACCGAGTTCGGGATTAACGTGGCCCTGTTCCTGCTGTACATGTCGGCTGCCGTCGTGTACGTGAACGACACCAACCGCGGGGGGCTCTGCTATTACCAGCTGTTCAAGACGCCGATCAACGCGGCTTTCTGCCGGGTGGAGGGAGGACAGACGGCTGCCATCGTCTTCTTGTTCGTCACGGTGCTCATGTATCTCATCAGCGCCGTGGTTTGCCTGAAGCTGTGGCGGCACGAAGGAGCCCGGAGGCACCGGGAGCTGATGGAGCGGGAGGTAAGACCGGTTTGTGTCTCCCGAGCGGCCTGACGAGGAGCAGGTGTAAGATCTTCCGCGGCTGCAGAGGGAGGCCTGTCAGAAGACTCTCAGCAGCAGACTCACAGCCTTTGAGGGTGAACTTCCCTAACCATATTTAAGAAAACTAAACAAAAGGGTGCTTTTAAGACGTCTGATCCAAATTCTTGGACTTTTTTGTTTATTTCTTTATTTAAATTCACTTTGGTAAGGAGCTGGCTCTGTTCTCTTTGTCATACTCGGCTCTCTTCCTGCATCAGCCGACGAGCTACTTCCTGGTGTGTGTTTGCTGAACGAAGGAATAAATTAACAATGTGCCAGTTCAGCTGCTCAGTAGGGTTATGCTTAGAGCCACCTAGCATTTATTTGAAGACTGCTATTAATTTATTCAGTTAATTGCTGGCATGAATGACTTCAAGAACACGACATACTTATTTTTACTTGGCAAGCAAAACTCTAAGCTATTTATTTACCCTCTTCCAGTTTTTCTTATAGTAGGTATTACTGTTACAGTAGTAGTAACAGAATTGGCAAGATTTTAATCAACTTCATCTTTTCCACCCCAAGTATTTTGCGTTTCCAATGACCTTGCTCTTACTGGCAGCATTCAGTGCTCCCCTGGTTAATGATGAACTGTAACAGTAGAAACTTCACTGCTGTCAACTGGAGAATTTGGTGTCATTTGTGTAAATCCTGGTCCATGTGAGAACACCACCAAAAAACCCTTTTAAAAGTAATAAAACTTCATATAGCATAAAAAGTAATGCGTGTGAAGCCTACCTAAGACTAATTTAAGAAGGGGTCAGCTTTTAAATTATTTCCTTAGGAGAGAGCAAGTGTCAAGTCACATGTCCTCTGCTTTGTGCTTCAGTCTGATTTACAGCGTTTTCGTTTAACACTGGTTTCCATTACACCATCTTGCATAAAACTGAGATGCCCCTTTTGAAAAGTACATTGCAGCCTTTTGATAGAAGTTTTTTTAACCAACTTTTGGTATGTCCTGTGAGAAGGAGGAGTGCTGGAATTACATGGGTGCTCAGTCACTCTTCCCTGTTTCCAGGATAAAAGAACATGGATAGTTACTTAATATTTCTAAAGGAAAAACTTATTTTACAATACAGTTTAGGCTCTGGAGAGTGCTGTGCAAGATAGCTGCTTGTTGAGCTACCTGTTAGTGCACTGTTGTATTTTCTAGGCAATCAGTTAGGCTGCAGAATGTCAGTGGCTGGCATGTGAAGCAATAAAGGAGGCTGGAGGGTGGATGGAGTATTTCTTGCAAGCTGTTCCTTGCAGCTGTGCTCTGGGAGAACCTGTCCTTGTTGTGGGTGTTGAGTTTTGTTCTGCTATTCTTCAATGGTCTTTAGATCAATTGATCTGAAAAGACTCCTTGTGCTAAACTTCTTCATACCTAACTATAAGTGTAATTCTCAGTACAATGTGATTTTGAAGGAGTTTAGGTTTTAAGAGGCTCTGTTTTTGCATACTGTTTTTCCTGAAAATAAAACAGTTTGTTCTGGTTTTTTGTAGATGAAAACACAGTCCTCTTTTCCAGAAAACAAGGTAAGAAATAGGAACTTGTTTTTCTGTTTATTGCTATTTCCATATGGTTACTTTTCTTGTGATTATTTTGATTGACCTATGAATTTATTTACTTACTCAGTTTGGAATAAATTAGGTTTAGTTCTTTAATGTAGTCCAGACAACAGTCTTCTAACTAGAAGATTCAGAAGAAGCTTTCAAGTAAGTTACTACTAGTTAGGCTAAGTTTTAATAAAATAGTAAAATTTACTGTAAATAGCAAATCTGACTACTGCCTCTGTGAGCTCTTATCCACTTCCATGAAGTGGCTATGATTTACCACAGAGGTTGGCAGAGATGACTGTAAACAGCACTGTCATCTGATGCATTGCAGGTTGCAGTGTCTCTTCCCTCTTGGCTGTCTACCTAATTTGGAGGAGAGCCAGTGGAAGCACAGTGATAGGTGCTCTGTGAGTTGAGCTTGTTCCTGTATCTCGGAAGCTGCTCCAAAGACCTCCTTGCCAGTTTTTAAGTATCAGCAGTTGTAGTGCTCCTGCCACACCATGATGCAGTTGTGTACACTGCAAAGATTGCATAGGCTCTTAACAGTAGATATTGAAGACTCCCAAGGAATGTTATAGTGTATTTATTTCAGTCTGAAATGTCTCCTGTTAGATACTGCGAATTTCCTACCACTGTTTCTTCTGTTGCTTCAATACTGAATCAAGATCTTTTTTTCCGTGTTCCAACAAGACTCTGCGTGTTTTAATATCTGGATCAAGATATAAGCTATGCAGTAGGAAACAAGGTGAAAAGGGAACACGAAAGAACTGGGTGATTCCTGTTCATTCACAAATTAGGTGGATATCCATGGAAACTTCCTTAATTTTTTTTTTTAAAGACATACAACGCAAATATTTTCAAGCCCAAGAAGTGTCTGTCTGTCACTGGTATTGCTGTTAGGAAAAACTGAAGATGGGTACTGTGTGAGAAGCATTAGTGTAATGTTTTATAATTTTTTAATTACAATAAGGGTCATAAGAAATATGTATTATTTGCTGCTACTGTTGCTCAGTTCTTGTATCACTGTCTTCAAACGAATTGGGTATTCTGTAGTTTATGTATATTGCATTTGAAGTGAAACTGAATTAAGAACCATTTTCTTATTGTTTTGGAACAGTATGACAGTGAAGACAGACCAGGAGAAGAGTTCGCTTACAGGCAGCTTAAATCCATGGAAAGAAAACCAGAACTACTTAATGGTCACATACCTGCAGGCCACATTCCTAAACCTATAGTGATGCCAGACTACTTAGCGTAAGTGACTTGACTTAGATGAATAAACTTAATGGACAGTATTTGAATTATCTTTTTCACTTGACATTTCTTATAGGTACTGTCATGGTTTCTCTGGCAGGCATGTGATATGGGAACGTATAATTAATTTAATGTTAAAAACAGATAGGATAGGGGCTTCTATCAATGGCATAGAACCAGTAATATAAATGAAATAATCTTAGATTTCAAAAATCCCACCCAAACCTCACGTTAAAGCAGAATGTTTTAATCTAGCAAGTACGGTAACTGCCAAAGGAGCAGAAGACCACTACACTGACAATTTAGAAGAAAATAAAATGCATGGCAAATTACTTGTCTTTTTAGCCCCTGAAATTCAACTACTCTACTACTTCCTGTGCGCTAAATCCTTGACATGCTCCCATTTAAAGGGTAGGCCTTTCCATGCTGAAGTAGGAGATAAAAAATTAATTTTTGTACTGTTTGCTGTTAGGGCACTAACTGAAACATGGGAGGTTCCACCTGCATGTGGACAAAATCTTGTTCACTGTGAGGGTTAGCACAGGTTGCTCAGAGAGTTTATGGAGTCTCCATTCTTGGAGACATTCAGAAGCCATCTGGACACAGTACTGGGCAGCCTGGTCTGGGTGGCCCTGCTTGAGCAAGGGGCTTGAGGGGGGTTGGAGCAGATGACCTCTAAAGATCCCTTCCAACATCAGACACTCTGTTGTTCTGTGATTTCAGTGCTTCACGTATATGCAAATTTCAGCAGGTTATGAGGTTAGCAAACAATACAGAAACACACTATCAAGATGAAGGGTTCATGGGTATGTTAAGTCCTATCTCTAAAACTAGTTCTTGAAAAGGAGGGGTGTTTTGTGTTGTCTTTTTTTAAGGAAGTACCCAGCAATTCAAACAAATGAAATGCGAGATCGGTACAAAGCAGTATTCAACGATCAGTTTGCTGAATATAAAGAGCTGTCTGTGGAAGTTCATGCTGTATTAAAAAAGTTTGATGAGCTGGATGCATTGATGAGACAGCTTCCTCACCATCCGGAAAGCATATATGTAAGTACCTGTGAAATGACCTCATGGAAGACAAGTGTGGTAGCAGGCAGCTTCTGACTGTCTTTAGCAAAGGCATCATGTCTTGTCATGCTGGCTGTGACTTGGTAGGAGATGAAAGTTTTCCAAAATATGTCATTTCTTTTTGTGGTCATCAGTCAAGGATACCAAGTTGCAGTGAAGTTGTACACGTGTTTTTCTGGTTGGTTGTTGGGTTTGTTTGTGCTAGTAGCTATCAAGGTTGAGTGAAATACAATTAATGTACTTTTACTGTTTCTCAAAGTACAAGATTTACAACTAAAATGTTACAACTAGAATAGATTGATCAAGTGAGAATTTTGCTTCTGATGAGTACTTTGTACAATTTACATGAAGACATAGAGCACACCTAAAGTGTTTAAACATGTGCTGTTTCTCATTAGGAACAAGAAAGGATATCAAAAGTTCTGCAAGAATACAAGAAGAAGAAAAATGTGAGTGTTTTCAGTTTTATATTGGTAGTGAATCTAATGAATAGCAAACAGAGTGTAAATAGCCAACATGTCTGACACTAGGTACAGTTTGCTATCTCAGGGTATCCATAGCTACCACCAGGCTTTGTATATTTTGTCTTTTAAACCTTTTCCAAAGTTAGGAAACAACCCACTCCACTCATGCTGACAACCTGTTTTGAGAACAATTAATCCATTGGAGAGATGGGGGGGAAAAAAAGCACCCCAACAGTTAAGCATTTTCATTTTCTCATCTCTTAACATTCTGTGTTCAGAAGACTGGTTATTTTTTGGAATCCAGTTTATTTATATTAATTCACTGACTGACACAGGCAGTAGATAAGTTAAGAATAGAACACATAGTTTTACCCTTGAAAAAAAGTTTTGTATTTTCTTTGTGTCATGGAACTTAGACTTTCAAAAAGTAATTTTCAGCATAAGCCAAGTCATGACACTGTAGTTTTTAGATGCAGTCAGTAAATGTGTGCTTGTGTCCCATTAAAAACATACATTACAAATAACCTTTTTATCTCATAGAATTCAAGTTTTGAATCTGTGTTAGTTAAACTTCATTGCTTTTTTGGGGGAGGGATATATTAGACATACAACAATGCACCCATAAAATCTAAATTATGTAGTAGGATGTCATTTATATTTGCAGATTTCTGTTGTAAAACTGCTCTGTCTACTAAGTAAGGACAGCACATAGAAACAGAACCTTTTTTTCCAGCCTTTCATGACGGAAGGGGGAAGCAGGAAATAAGAAATTGTGGCCAAGAAAAAAGTGTGATTTTGGAGAATATTTGTATACTGTCATTAATCAAGAACATAACTAATAATAGGCTACTCTTGGAAGAGTCTGAAAGTGTAATGTATTAATGTAAATGTTTTCATATTTTTTGCAGGATCCTGCATTTCTGGAGAAAAAGGAGCGTTGTGAATACCTAAAGAACAAACTTTCTCACATAAAACAACGAATTCAGGACTATGATAAAATTATGAACTGGAATATAGAAACTTAGCTATTCCTTAATTTTTTGAATGCTATTTTCTATTTTTTAAATCGATTTTAAACTATTTATTTACTCTCAAAAACAGTACACCTATGGGGATCACATAATCACTTCATCATTTATTTAGATGTTGTACATTACCAGTAGGTTTTTTAATGCAGATTGATTTTTAAACCAATGAAGTGAAGTTCTCAGATAAGTTTAGAAAACTTGTGTTAGCGTTCTGCTTTTATTAGACAGTACACTGTTTGGCCTCTTAAATATGGATACTTTATTTGAAAATACTGCATTTGCAAAGTTGCAAAGCCCAGCAGAGAAATCAGTTCTAAATACCATATAAAAAATTTGCACAGAAGTGCCACTCAGAATTGCAGATTTTATTTATAGGTGACATCTTAATGACATCACGAAGATTGGAGCTGTTCTTTCTGGTTGGGGTTTGTTGGAGTGCTTAATCACGTTGAACAATTTTGGCAAGTCTACAGTTTGTTTAGTAAGACTTTTTTTTGTATTGTATTTCCAAATGCTGTGTTGTAGTCTGAAATAATCTGGAATTTTACCCAACAAGAGATGCAAAGTAACCTCCTATTTAAGCAGCCATAGTATGTTGGGGGTGGTGAGTGAGCAGGATGTGTTGGGCTTCTATTGTTTGGGTTTTGCTTTTTTCTTAATTCCCCTCCTTAGAGGTGATGCAACACATTTATACATGGTCTTAACGGAATAGAGGTACAGGATGAGGCTCCTGTAAGCATTTCATTAGTGTTGCTATCAGCCAGTATGATTCATATACCTTTTCTTAGTCATCTTTGTAGGAGTCTGTGGGTTTAAAGGCAAAACACTTCATTCTTTACCAGCAAATGACAGGACTTTTTGCCTAGGCAGCAGCTGATGTGAACTCAGCATGCGGAGAAACCAATTCTTGTTCAAAGTATAAATTGTCAGTATCCTTTATAAGGCTGGGTAAAGCGTTTTAATAGACATGCTTTCCAGAGCATATCTGCAAAAATTCAATATACATTTTTATATTGTATCTTGGGGATAGGTTTGTATATGCAAATGTTTTTTATAAGCCACTACATTTTCTCTTTGTATCCTTTTTCCATCTTTGTTTACTTTTTTTTTACTCAGTAAAATTTTAGAGGCATTGGTAATTTCTTTGTACAGTTTTCTACAACTGCAATTTGTCTGCTCCAAAATATATTTTAATTTGAAAAAACCCCACACAGTGTAGCTGTGTTATTCTGCTGCTTATAAAGGCATTTTGTTAGGAAAAGGTGCTCAGATTAAGGTTTTTTCAAATTTTTGTTAGTGATCATTTTTTCTTTAAAAGAAAGTTTTCAACTTTTGCCTTAATTTAAAGGCAAGGCATCAGGAAATCCATTTCCAGATTAGAATGGTGATAGCAGTACCACCTCTGTTCTTCAGTGCCTTGTTCTGGCAGTTAATATCCCTTCTGCTCTTTGAGCCCTTATCATATTGCAATACTGATGGCTGCAAACCCACTTCTGCATTTATAAACTTGACATTCCAGTTTTATCAGCAACTTCACTCCAAGAGTTTTAGTGGATGAAGTAAATAACAAAAGACACCATAGGAATGCGGAGAGAATTTGAAAACTTGGGACCTCTTAAGTCAAAAGCCTTCAGTCTCATCTACCCAGAAGGCATCTCAATATTTTTATCAGTCTGAAATCAGATGACAGTGCTATCCCGTGTTCTCCCTCTCTTTTCAGGTGCCTCTTTCTTTGCTCAGGTTTCTGTTATTTTCAAAGAAGAAGAAACCTCTCTGCCTTACAAAGGAGCTGGGCTGAGTGTGCTGTATACTTCTTAAATTTTTCTTTGTAGGAGAGGTCCTTGCCCAAATCCCTGCAATCTAAATGATCACTCAGGTTTCTTTTTATTTATTTTTTTTTCCTCAGTGGAGTTCTGGGTATCAGTACCAGGAGAAGATTAATCCAAGGTGAAGCATCAACTGATATTTATAATAAAGTGCTAAAAAGAAGCTGGCTCTGATGTTCTCTTTGGAGGATTCGTAGTCTGCACCTTTAACAAGTCTTTGTCCTGTAGGACACAGAGATCCAGCTTTAGGCTTCCTGTAACAGTGGTTTGAGTTTCAGTCTCTGAGAAACTGGTTTCTAGCCCCTCAGAGTCTGCACAGCCTCTGCAGAACTATCCTGCTGCTTCTTTCCTGCCAAGTTTCCAACAGATGGGTAGGGAAGGGCCAAACCATGCCTGTGGCTGGAACAAGGAAATAAAGCACAGAGAGCTGTGTGCAGATCAATCCATGTTTCCCACCAAGGTGCCACAGGTGTGGCTGAGTGGGTTTTCCCAAAAGCTGGAGAGAGAAGATGCGTAGGAATACTCCCTTCTGACAGCCTCTTGGGGTTCATACAGGATTAGCACAGTGCATGAAGTGGAGGATGCTGATTATGGAGCCCCAGGAGAAGGTATTTACTTTTACAGCTTGGGAAGCCCACAAGGGCAGCACACTGCAACCCTTTCAGTAAATTATTTGCTCGCTCCTGGATCTGTCATGGACCTCAATACTGCTAAGCAGGCATTTTGGGTGTACAGAGTTGGTGAGCTGGTTTTGCTCTAACCTACCAACGGAGGACCAGAAAACAACTTGTCAACAGTGCTCTGACTGTGCCAAAGAAAAATGTACTAGTCTAAGAAACATCTTTGTCTCTCGGAAAAATTGAGATTAATGGGAATTGAAGTAATTCAAATGCAAGACAGAAATTAGGAATAAAATGAGAATTCGTTACAATAGGAACTACCAGGGAAAGTGATGTCTTAATGTCCTTACAGAAGAGAAGGTATACTTGAGACAGTAGTTATTTAATTTATTAGATTATTGTCACATAGGTCTCTGTGCAGTCTCTAGTCTCAGCTCTGAATTGATACTGTTGCATGTTCATGTGAGCAGTCTGCTATATGGTCTTACCTGTGTGACCGGGTTTTTGCAGAAGGTAGTTGACATTTATTTGAAATTTACCAAGTGATACTTCCCTACATCAATGGGCATACAGCATAGCCTTTAAATTCCAGCCTGTCCTCAGACACTGGGGGTATGTAATTGTTTTATCCTTCACTCTTTCTCTTAGAAAATGCCTGCCTGGCTCTACGGATAAACAAAGGGAAGTGTCCAAGACATAGAGGAAATACCGTTTTCAAACAGGACTTGAATAAATCAATAAAAGGGCTTTTTTTTTTTTTTTTTAAATCTTGATAAACAGCTGGATATCCTTGATCAAGATAGCTGTGGCAACATATGCTAACTCTTTTCTACTGTGTACATTTTTGCAGGGCAGATGAAGCAGTGCCTCACAAATGTCATCAAAAGTTTGTATCACATAGTTGGGTGGACTAGCTTCCATGATAGTGTACCACCTAAAAATGCTTGTGGCAATGACAATGATAGGTGGTTTGTCATAGTATTTAGTTTGTTAATCTCAAAACTGTGGTGGGGTTTGAAGAATTTGGACAATCATAATCTACAAAGTGATTGTATATCCAATGTTGCTGTCTAAAATTGAAATGCTTGGCCTTACAATAAAAAATACCCCTGTTCTGAAATAAGTCTAATTTCTCTCTTCTATTAAAATTGCCAACTTGCAGCCATTTTTCCATTTTGATGTTTTATAAGTTGGATTTTTGCCTTCTTAAGAAGGTAAAAGTGATCTAATGGAAGCTGATAAAACTACAACAGTATTTCAGGTCCTAGAAGAAAATCTTGACTTCTTCAACTAAATAATGCCCTTTTTTCCATCTTCAATAGTTTTCATTGCTTTCCTTCAAACTACATTGGATTTTTCCCAGGTAGGGTCTAATAGAAAGCTAGTTAGTTTCTCCTCTCTCTCCCCTCTATTTGTAAATTGCTTCTTATAAATGCAACAGGCTACCAAAAGATAGAGAAGTGGTTCCCCCCACCTACTGCCCTGCTCCTATTTACTACTGTTAAAAGGTTTTCTTCCTTAGATACTGTCTTACTTGGATGCAGTGACACCCCTTAGAAACGGATGCGCGGCAACTTTCCTGTAATTCAAGAGGTCAAACCCAGTCTTGGCACACTTCCACTGCATCCAGTTACAATTGCTCTGCAGAGAAGTTGGCTAAAACTATCTCTGCCTTTATTGAGCTGAATCTCGCTGTGATGCTTATGAAATGCAAACTTTCAGTGTCATGTGTTGCATGGAATTGTTTTAGGTAGAAGGGAAATGTAGTCACATAACATCAAAATACCTGAAACTAATTTGCTAGCTCTTGTATTTTGACTTTAGTCTGAAAATATCTCAAACTCTGCACGTGAAAGAACACTTTTGCATAACTGCATTTTCTTTTTGCTTGTCTTGTGGGAACAAAAAACATTTGCAAGCTTTTAAGATTACATGTAATTTTCACTCTAACAAAACAAGTAATTTGAGATACTTACGGTTCTAGAATCTGCTCTGTTTAAATCCTGTTTAAATATATTCTGTTTAAATATAGATAAAGCCCTTGTGGAACTACTAGACCATGTAAGGTGACTATGATGTGTTCTTGCATCCTGCAAGTTTGCTTATTCCCTACTGTGCCTAAATTATGTGCACTTTGTGGGTGTCCCTGGGTTTCTTTGCCTCTGCCTATAACCGAGTAGTGACAGTAATTTTTCTTTTATACCACTGTGTGTAATACTCTGTTCTGGAGATACAGAAAAGTTATGTAGACACATACGTAAATTGCATGTAAATGTTTTTTTATCACACCAGATTTCAGATCGTGGTACTTTTGAATGTTTCATAGTAATGATCCTGTTTTTCTGTTAGTGACTTGGCTCTGCTAACACATCTACCCCTCTGTTCCCTTGTGCTTTCCCCTGCTTCCTCATTCTCACAAAAGTAATGATGTTCTATGTTGTTCTATGGTGTTCTCACAAAAGTAATGATGTTCTATGATGATGTTTTGTCACGTTATCTTCCCTGATGTTAATCCGTGGAACTGAAAATGGATTTTCTTGTATTTAAACAA